GCCTTTTTTGTGTCTAGTTTATCTTTCCCGCCGATTCGCACGGTTGGGTACGTACGATGCGAAATAAGTTCAACAAACATACACGGCATTCCGGAAGCTTCTCGAGAAAGGCGCCGATGAAAGTTTCTTCTGGAACTGAATTGAAGAAGCGCCCAGCATATGGAGTTACAACTGTGTGGGGTTTTTTCTTCGGACATCGTGCCACAAACAACAAGCGGCGAAATGCCAGAACACTCCGGAGAGCTGCACAGTGCACCGATGAAAACTTAGGCAGTCGTTTATATTCTTACTTTGAAGTTCCTTCCCCAACTTCTTCAACCACCCCAAACCCTTTCCTCCATCACCCCCCCCCCCCCTCTCACCGCCACCCGACCAGCCTGTTCCTTTGACTAACAGTCAGTCGCCAGCGCTGCTTAATACGCATTCACAAGTGCAGATTTCAAAGTCAATGCACACGACGGCATCAGCTCTGGCTCTAGAACAAACATATAAACACGTGCGATTGGGTAAATGGGCCAACTAAAGTGACCATTATCTGAACCGGTCCTGGGCCTCCCCTGGGTCGACTTAGCCTCAAAATGAGGATCTGGTGCGGTGTGTAAAACTTCGCCACTAGGGAGACAAAGGCGGCCAGGCGTGGTGTTGGCCACCCACCCCCTCGTGCGCCGTGCCGGCCTTCATAGGTGCTACTCGCTAACAGCACTTGCCCCAACAGTCTGTTAAAGGCGATACGGGAGATCTTCATGTTGAACAACTGTTGGGTTTTATTTTCTTTGAACACCCCCCCCCCCGCGCTTTTAAAATGAACACCAAATTCACTTTAGCCGTCGGCAACACCCCCGACTCACACTGATTTTGGCGAAATTGCGCTGAATTGTTATCTGACGCTGCCTTCTGTGCGTGATTATTTAAGATAATTACGTTGCCTTATTATGTTCTCACGAGAAAGGAATAAAACACACACACAAGTACGAAGCAGGTGAAGAAAGGGGAGCGCGTGAGTGATTGCCACCCTATGAAGATGAAAGCCGTAAGAGCTGTATTATTGTCTCTAAGGTAAGATTAACTTAATCCATTTTACACGCTAAAAGTGTATTTCTCTACTCTGTTATTTTTACCGTTTTCTTGTTTAAAAAAGAAAAAGCGTCACATCCCAGAATCTGACACGTTACAATTTCAAACGACAGTGGGTTTAGCATGTTTGTTGAAACTCAGTCAGTATGTTATTATCAGCCCCGTGCGCCGCCAATGCAATTGGACATGGCGCGTGACGTGACATGACACAATGAGGTAGAATTGAATGCCCTTGTGGAAGGAAAAATAAATATTCCCCCCCCTACCAAGGGTTGAATAGACCTGTTTGCCATGCGACGAATTATGGGGGGCAGGGAAGGGGGGCCACCTTGCTCAAGAGACATAATTCTTGGAACCGGTACCTTCACACCACACTATCACTGCAGCGCAGAGCAGTGAGCAAGCCCCCCCCCCCCCCCCCCTTGTCACCGCATGTTTAAGAATAGGTCATGCGCGTCCAAAAAATGGTCTGCAAACCGTGCAGTCAAATCCACTTAGCGGCAGCCACTTCACGAGGGGACTTAGAAACAAAAAATATATGTCTATGATTGTGGGGAGTGCGGGGGGAACTCGAGTATGCTAGCGGGAGGAATTACAACTCATAAGCACGTGAAACGTACACACACGTGTGTAACGTGTACACGTGCGTGTACACACACAGAAAATTCCCTTTTGGCAGTCCACTTGTCGGATGAGGGCACTCGGCAGGCGGCGCGGGTCACGCCTGTTGTTTGACCTCGCGTCGCCCCGTCGCTGCCGGTTGACGAGGGCGGGAGGAGCGCGGTCGTGAGAGGTCACAGGAGTACAGTACAACAATAGATGTGTTTTGCCACGTTGCCCTCTGCTGCCGCGCGATATCGGCAGCCCTGCAACAACAACACTGTTAGTGCGTGGCTCAAGCATGCTTTGTTTCCGTGCGTAACGATAGACACGTGTAACTGGAATAATCGTAATCGTGACCTGCATTTATCCGGCAAAGCCCGAGGCTTAAGATTCATTTTTTCTTTCAAGAGGATCCGGCATTTGTTTGTCCATTTTCATTCACCGAGTGTTTTAACATGCTGGAAGAAATGAGTGTGCAGTACACTGGAAACTCCACACGTATGGATTCAAGAATTCATTGCCGCCATGTTATTCCGTCACCACCACAAAGAATACACACCGAGCACTGTGTCCATGTTTTCTTCCAGTCTCAGTGTCGCCGTGGTAAGCAGAGGCACAGCACTTCGAAGCCAGTAACCTTGAATTCGATTCCTGGCCACGGCTTGCATCCTTGGCAAATTATATCTAAACATGTCCCCGGGCCCCCTTCATCAACCCACACGAACCCAAGTGGTGAAGTATAGCCGAACAAACGCCCAGTGCTGACACGAAATGAAGAGATGCTCATCCAGCAGTGGACGAACAGAAGGTTGTAATTCTAGATTTCAAGCTTTCGTGACTGCAAGGATTCATACTCTTAGTTCTTTCGGTAAAGTCACGTAGGTAAAAAATGAAATTAAAATTAATAAATAATAAAATCACGACGTTTCAGGTGGGACCGTCACAGCCAGGTTTGCTGCATCAATTGATGCAGCAAATCTGGCTGTGACGGTCCCACCTGATGACGGAGACTTGTGTTGCCTCCGAAACGTCGTGATTTTATTATTTTATTATTATTTTTATTAATTTTAATTTAATTTTTTACCTACGTGACTTTACCGAAAGAACTAAGAGTATAGAAGGTTGTAAATAATTATTACCGACAGCTCGCACATCCTTGGACGTGACCATCCGTCCGTCCCTCCAGCCAGCCAGCCAGCAAATCTTTTTTTTTCGAATGCAGGTGACAATTTACAGCCACGTGCCAATCCACTGCGGAAGGGCCTCGTCCCAGCGCGTCGTGCGAGTCGCGAGATATTATGCGGGTTGACGTCATCACGCAGATATGCGCGGTGACGTCACCGCCGGGCACGCGCACGTGGGAGCGCGGCACCCAGACGGGCAGGAATCCACCCAGGTTATCAAACCAGAAAACTTTTTGGGTTTTATAAATTAGTATGACACGCAGTGTGTTAAATATATAACTTGAGAATTGGATTTTGCAAGGCATCTATGGTGTAATGTAGTTACCCATGAGAGGTCATGATAACTCCTGTAATTTTTGTGTTTTCAAAAATGTGTGACTGTCCTGTATGAAACAAATATTCGTGAGAAAGAACGGTGATCTTTGTTAAAATGAAGAGTGCAGAACTTGTGGAAGTTGCCACGGTGGCGAGATGTTAACTACCTCGCCTGGTATGCAGGAGGTCTTGGAACGATCCTGACCCTGACGCCTGCTGTATATTTGAAGTTTGCATGTTTCTCTCTCCCCGTCGTGGTCGCGTGGATTTTTCTTCGGGTCCTCCGGTTTTTCCCTCCACATTTAGAAACACGCGTTTCGAGTGTTTGGCTGCTATAAATGTCCACATGATAAGCCACTCCGTTGAGCGATCATCTGTGGCCAGGTGGCTTCTTAAAAAAGTTAGACAGCTCACTGAGTCTTTCCTGGTAAGATCAACAACAAAAATTCGTTTCTAGTTTAAGTTAGCCAGTTCGCTCTAACACACTCGATATAGGGAGGGGGACCCCATACCCATTCAGGAATTGGCTTAGCATTCCAATTTGACGCTCTTAGAAATGTCTTGAGACTCGGTGAGGCTCTCCTGTATATTAAAAGGATGCTATTGCAATCATTTTTGTATTCCATGACCAAGCAGCAGCTTCTTGTCTTGGCCACTAGCCTACAATTGGCCTAAGATCCACTGACTGTATCAACATCCATGCTCTCATTTGCGCTAAAAATATAAACAATTTCCCCCACAATCGGGCCTGGTAGAGTAAAGGTTAGTGACTGACCACACGTGGCGTGTGTGGGTGTGCGCGTGCGTGAGCGTGTGTTTGGAACTCACGGCTGGTGTCAATTCGTCGGGAGAGGCGATGTCTGTGGACTCGGTGCTAAGCTGTCACTGGCCAATGAGCGAGCAGCAGAGAGATGAGCCGGCCGTGTTCAGCCACCTCCGACGCTGTGTCACCTAAATATAGTGTTTTCATAGCCCACCACATCTCTCTCTCTCTGTGTTAGATGTCAATATGTTCAGCTTTCTTGTCAAACTTTGCAGCACACATGGAGTGAAAGTGTTTTGTGGGGAGCAATTTATCAAGAGCTGCTGCTACTCGAGGTGCATTCTGCACGAGCTAATAAAAGTAAGACGTTTCTTCGACAACCAAACTTAAAATGATTTTCTTTGAAAACAAAACCAAGGGATTGCTTGCGTCGGCCAGTGGATGCAATGTCCCCCAGCATGAACTTCAAATGCAGAGCAGGGATTGTTTCATTTCAATGAGCTCACGTCCGCTCGTGAATCAGCGGCGGTGATGACGACGACGATGCCGATGATGAATGAGCTATGGAAACGCATTAATGGAACACGATAGAGTTACACACGTCCCTCGCAGACGGCACCCGGGGACCTTCACAGTTCGTCAATACACACAGACGCACACACACACACACAGACACACCAAATAACATCTGCAGCGGAAGAGAATCGTAAACACCAGTGGCCATGGTCGTGGCCCAAGTCCTGTGGAGGGGCAAGTTTTCATTTTGACAGCGACACCAAAGGGGCCAGGTGCAACGGGGAGTGGCCGTGTGGCTCTCTCTCTCTCTCTCGATGGCCGTTCCAGAGTTGTCCACGCGCTATTGTCGGAGAGTGCTTCTTGACTCTTCGCAAAAGGGGGGCAAAAAAATCACAATGCCCCTGGCCACGTGTTCAGTCGCGCGCCGTGACACCGCGGGGCGTTCGTCCGCGACAGTTTAGTGGCAAGGCAAACGAGGCCCCATTCCCTTTGTCACACACCCAGAGTCTCGCTACAGAGGCGGAAAAGAACCCGAATCGTAGTGGTAAACATCAAGTATTTATTCAAACAGCATACAAGGTAGTCATGGTAACCAGATAATTGTTTTTAAAAATGAGTATTTGATTACTTATGCGTTCTATTATTTATTTATTTGCCACCTCTATATACTTGCGTGTGCATGTATTAAATACTGTCAGCTGGTCTATTGTGTATAAATAGTGTGTAGCCATTTGCTTTTATTATTATTATGTTTGTCTACTCAAAATGATAGCTTACAGCGACAGACACTTTGCTTGCCCGGTAGAATTCCTCCTGCCTCGCCTGGCCTGGCTGATGGGGATCTATGCCGCGTGAGAAACCGCTCGCCCTCTAGCCACTACGATGAGCTCTATGGATGCGATGTTGGTTACTGCTATGGCTGTTTGTATATTCAGGCGTGCAACGCTAAATACCACAGAACCCGGTTTTTTTAAAGTCAATAATCTACGTGCATACATATCACTTCAACAGCATTATCGCCTTGTGAAGATATATATAATCTCTCTGGAGCCTTCAATTCATCCTGATGTGTAATTGTTTTACAGAAGCTACATAGTGATACAAACTGCGACGAAAGTTAAGCCACGATATGACCCCCCCCCCCCCCACACAACCTGCGATTGAGTTTCTACTATAGGAATACAGTACTTATATACAGTATATATATATAAGCATACGGTGCGTGTGGTGCGCGTCTCGGGGAGGTGTAGCGGCGATTGTTGAGCGCATTGCGTTGTGCCTTAGCCCAGCGGCGGCCTGAGTTCAATTCCACGACCACAGCCAACTTCAAGCGGCGAGTGAGAGAGCTAGAACCGGGCACCTGGCCCTCCCGTTCACCAACCCGCACTGACCAGAGTGGTGAAGTATGGTCAAGCAACCACCACGACCGATGTGGCGTGTGGGGGGGGGGGGGGTCGAGACTTTCATCCAGCAGCGCAATCGACAACGGGTTTTTAAATGATTGTAAATCTCTGTTGTATTGATATATATATATATAGCCTTAGTGTATGCTCAGCTTGTGCAATGTTTGAGCCCCAGTCCAGTACAAGGATCACTCCCCGGTGCCTCAGCCTCCTTGACCACTCGCGCGATGGGGTTAGTGGGGGTAGGGAGGGCTCACGCCGCTATGATCACTGCCTGCAGAACTTACATTTAATGATCTTCTTGAAGGCGTTCTGAAAGTCCTTGTTGAAGTACGCGTAGATGATGGGGTTGAGCAGCGAGTTGGAGTAGCCGAGCCAGTTGATGACGGCGAACACGCCCGGCGGCGAGTAGGCACCGCTCGCCGCAGAAGGGCGAGATGAGCGCCACGATGAAGAAGGGCAGCCAGCAGAAGATGAATGTGCCCATGATGATGCCCAGCGTCTTCACCGTCTTGCGCTCCCGCGCGAGCGCCGTCTTGCGCCGACACGCGTCCGCACCCGTCCCGTTCCCGTGCTGCTGCTGCTGCTGCTGCGTCGGCATCATCGCGGGCGACAAATGCGGCCGCGCTGAACTGTGCGCCAGAGAGGAGGGACTCCTCGCCCCCACCGCCTCGGGCAAGGCCAGCTCGCGGTGGCTCCTCTGCTTGGAGTCGCCGTTGCACGGGGCCGGAGACGGAGGCGCCGCGGTCTCTGCCTCTGCCGCCACGGACGGCATCTCGGCGCGGTTCGATATGGCGAAGGGCGCGTCGAAGGACTTCTTCTCGGTGGCCTTCTTGACGTTCTTGCGGATGCGAAACCGCGCCGCCCTGAATATTCTGCTGTAGAGGACGAGCATGAGGATGAGCGGGATGTAGAAGGCGCCGAACGTGGAGTAGATGGTGTAGCCGTGGTCCTGGCTGATCTTGCACGCGTTCGGATCCGCCCTGTCCTCCGGAGTCCTCCATCCCAGCATGGGCGGGATGGAGATGGAGAAGCCCACGAGCCACGTGAGGCTGATCATGATGACGGCGCGCCGCGGTGTCCTCTTGTTCACGTAGTCGATGGGGTTGGTGATCGCCCAGTAGCGGTCGAGAGCGATTACGCACAGGTGCAGGATGGACGAGGTGCAGCAGAGGACGTCCAGCGCGATGAAGATGTCGCACACCACCTGACCCAGCGTCCACCTGTCCAAAACTTGGTAGAGAGCGGCCATGGGCAGCACCAGCACGGACACCATCAAGTCGGTGACGGCCAGGGAGCCGATCAGGTAGTTGGCCACGTTCTGCAGAGTCCGCTCCAGCGCGATCGCGGCAATCACGCACGAGTTGCCGAAAATCGCGCACAAGATTAAGGCGGTCAAGCAAAGCGACGAGATCACGGTGTAGGCTACGGACGAGGGATCGCTGCTGTTCCCCTGCGCCGCGCTCACTGCCAGGGCCGGCGCGCTGCCTGTGATGTTGTGAGCTTCCATCGCGGTGACGGCGGCGGAGGAGGAGGCGGCGGAGGCGGCGGCAGCAGCCGGGACAGCGGCGCTCGTCTTTGTGTGGAGCCGCTAAAGTGGCACGCGTACAAGGAGCGGGTCATTGTTCCCCCATGATGAAGAAGCTTCTTATAGATGAGACGAGCAGCTGGGGACAGTCGCTTACGTGCTGTTGCTACTGCCGCTACTGCCGCCGCTGCTGCTGCTGCTGTTGCCGCTGCTCGTGCGTTGACCGCGGACGCATGACTGCCCCCGTTCTTCATATATACCGCGGGAGGGTAGCGCGTCAAAGCGGCGGCAGCGGTGCTCGCCGTTTGTGTCGATCACTCGACGCGCCACCCCTTCCTTAGCTGAGCGCACCGTGCCAGCTGCGCTCGCTGCCGAGATGCCCCAACCATTGAGTCCGCTCCGCACAGCGAGTTGCTGCCCACAGTTGCGAGTCGCTCGTGCTGGGGTTGAACTGGACGAGCATGCTGGGGATTGCGCGGCGGTGACTCAACTATAAACGCACGAGCGAACGCGCGCCCCCTTCGCGCGCGCGTGTGTGTGTACATGCGCGCGCTTGTACATGCGTGTGTGTGTGCATGCGCGCGCTTGTACATGCGTGTGCGTGTGTGCGCTCGCACTCCCCGATACTGACTGCTGCGCGTGCGAGGCTGGTTCAGTGTTTCCGCTGCGGCTTCGAGCGCCTGGAATGGATATTACATTGTTATTGATATTTATATATGTGTGTATGTATTTACCTATCGTGCGCTCGGAGGATGAGCAGCTACAGACAGACCCGCGCGCGCGCGTGTCTCTGCTTAATTGAGCAGCCCTTTAAAGACCCGGATTGTCAAATAATAAACATTAAAATGACACAAAGCAGTGGCAGAGAGGGCTGCCGACAGAGAGACGGAAAACAATTGCAGACCATCGAGAAGATTTTTTGTTAACACGTGACAATTCTAAACAACAACGATTACAACTAGAGTGTCTGTAGCCGCCGCTACCACAAACAACAACAGCAGCAGTAGCAACAACAACAACAACAGTTGAGAAGGCACCACGCGCAGAATCCGTTGTTGGATCAGCACCGCGGACAGCGCCTCCCCTCCACACGCAACGCTGCAGCCGGCAGAGCTCCTTGCAAACCGCCATCCGACACACACACAAAGACCCCCTCCCCCCCCCCGTATTGCCTTAACAGACTGTTGGGGCCAGTGCTGTTAGCGAGCACCTATTAAGGCTGACACAGCGCACGAGGGGGTGGGGGGGGGGGCGACGAGCACCACGCCCCGCTGCCTTTGTTCCCCCTGTGCCAATGCATGCACCCCGCATCAGGTACTCATTTACGGCTGAGTCGACCTAGGTGACAGGCACAGGAACCGGTTCATACATTTCGTCGCACGATACTGGCCGTGCGCGGGAATCGAACTCCGGGGGGGGGGGCGGATTCATAGCCCGCTGCGCTAACCACTACACTGCCGCTTCTTATTACACACGTGCATACGCACACTACACACGCATGCGTCGTTAATTCGCGGCGCTGTGATTTCCTTCCATCCCCCGTCACTCTTAAGACTTCTCCGCAGAGGTCGGCATAGCCCAGTGCTCGTGCACCCCTCTCGCCCGATGGCTTACACGAGCTGTGTGGCAGACGAGAGGAGCAGCCCGGATGGATGTTTGGGAACCGCGCGCCTCGCTGTTCGATTGTTCGGAGTAATGCACTCGGATCAGTGTTCGGATTTCTTTTTTTTTACGTCTGAGCCGTCGACATTATTCACTTAACAGCGCCGAGCTAAAGCGCCCCCGTTAAAACGCGCATAATAAATCGGTTATAATGCACACCCCCCCCCCCCCCCCCCGCTATTAGCAGCTGGTAGCGTATCGAGTGTAAATACCAGACACTTAGGCCGTATGCAATGGTGCGTGTGTGCTTTTTTGTTTCGTCGTCAATGTGTTCGCTACTGAGTAAACAATAGCGCTTTCTGTCGGCGTCGGCGTCACGCGCCACGGCTGGCGAATGACTTGGTCCACTGGAGGTGGGGTCTGAATATATGTTCGTATTTAAAAGGCTCCTGCGCTTTCCCCGAGGTCGACTCGATCTTAAGTGAATACTGTACCTGGCTCGGTGTGTGAACGTCAGCACTGGGGAGACAAAGGCAGTCGGGCGTAGCGTTGACAACCCATCCTCTCGTGTGCCGTGCTGGCCTTCATCGATGCTACTCGCTAACAGCACTGGTCCCAACAATCTGTTCGAGGCTATACGCGAGATCTATGCCTTTGTTTTGCACGAAGATCAGAGTAGCAATGTCAAACTTTAGCTTGACCTTGCACGTACGTGGCAAACCAATCATCTCTCCTGGCAGCCCAAATAGAAGTTTCCGGTGCTGGTATTTGTCTAGTTTTATGAGTATAGACTCGACTTATATCCGTGCCAAGTTTCAGCTGCCGAGCACTTCTAGAACGTCGTTAAAATGTAGCATGAATCAAGCTGTCACGATAGTTTACATGCAAACGGCGTAGTATTGGCATCACTGCATCAGTAGTACGCATGTGTTTCTGTGTGCAGGTTATTCATATATGCGCACATATTTGCAAGTGTATTCTTTTGTAAAAATATATATGATAGTGATAATACAGTATGCTAATGCAAATAACGGTAGCAGTTAAACATGATTAACTGCTATTACATGTAAATCGCAGCCTAATTCATACCCGTTGCAAGATGCATCTCAATAGGCAAGCTCAATCATATCAGCATGTTGGACATGAATTATCACTTCATCAGCATATGGACAGCCATTGTGAAATAACATGCACATTCTGACTCGTGCGCCAGGCTCATTGTTAAAGAAACAATGTCGCCTAATCATTCAAATTAAGCTGTCATTCAACTCCATTTAATATCAAGTCAAAGTCATATTTACATTTCACCCAGTGCCGAATTATCCTTGTAGCAAAAGTAGCTACATATGCTACGGGCCGCGCACTTTCAAGGGCCCCGCGCTAAATGCTTTCAAGCTATCAATTCCGGTTCAGTGATTCTGCACTTGCTCTATTACTACAGTACTATACCGCCTTCAACTTTTATGAACGACTGGGTGTTTAAGGTTAGCGATTTGTCGTATCATCTGGCTGTATAGCAAATGAAAAAAATACAATTACATTAATATGCAAGTTAAAAATGTGTGTTTTAATATTTACGTGTTGTTTTGTATTTAGGGCCCCTTTATAACATATGCTACAGGCCCGCACGAGCTTAATCCGGCACTGATTTCACCCGGGCGCTCGGATGGCGCGCAACCGCTGAGTGAAGGTTTTGCTCAACTCCCAAAGCGATCTAATTTTCCATGTGACCAGGAGGTGGTTCATGAACCCGTATGTGCGGATCTCTGACGCGTTGCTGGACATCTGTGAAGACTGGACATCGGTTGAAAAGAGCTTTATAGCTCATCGGATTTCCTCCAGTATAGATATTCGGATTCTGATTCCGTTATCTCCTCGAATGCGTGGTGGGTTTATCCAGGTACTGTACTCCGGTTTCCTCCCAAAACAAAGCCAAATAGCTCCTTATTTAATTTGGCCAACCATAGAAATATATGGAGCCATCCATGAAAAAAAATGCGGCTCATTAAGAATGCCCTAGATAAATATACAACCAGTTAAAAGCCTCGCGAGATTTGTAATGACTCCTGTTTGTAAAACCTGTGCAACCGTGCACAATTAGGATTTGAAAATGAGTTACAATAAAGTCCGATCATTCTCAATCTACCAGGCGATGTCCATCGTGGGGAGCGGTAGTGTAGTAGAGGGGGGGTTTGGGGGGGGGTTAGATCGCGTAAATATATAAATTTTGTGTCGTTAAAACCCGCCACCACCCGACACAGCCAACTAGTAAGGGTTGTCACGTCAACAGAACGTGGCCAATTCGTCACTAGTACGGCACTAGTGTGTAGTGTATAGTGTAGTGTATAGTGTAGTGTATAGTAGTGTATAGTGTAGTGTATAGTAGTGTATAGTGTAGTGTATAGTGTAGTATACTAGTACAGCACACCGGTGTGTTGGAGAGCCAAGCCACGACATTTACAATCTGAGTACGACGTTTCGCCAGTAATTACAACTAGCTTCATCAGGCGACAGACAGATTTGGCGAGTTTTAACGACACATTTAAGCGATCTAACCCCAAAATCCCTCTATTGTGGATGATATTGATCACGAAAGCCTACGTGTTGAACCGGTAGTGTAGTGTTAACGCACTGCGCAACAAACCTGGCGACCCGAGTTCGATTACCTTTCACAGCCAATATCCGTGACGAATATCTGAACCGGTTTTGAACCTCCGCGAGGTCAACTCATTCTTAATTGAGTACCTGGAGCGATGTTTAAAACATCAGCACTTGTTTGCCGGGCATGGTGTGGGCCACCCACCCCCTCGTGTAACGTTCCGGCCTTAACAGGTGCTCGCTAACTGCCCTTGTCTCAGCAGGGATCTTTCTCAACCTACCATTGACGTCAATTAAATTCTGATATCGCTTACCACCGATGTTAGCCATGGCCAAGAATCAAATTTGGGTGACGGGATTCGACAGCGCAGCGGCGCTCGCATCTGTCCCGCGGCTCCTCCTCCTCCTCCTCCGCAAACGAGTTCCTGGTAAATAATTAACATTGTGGCTTTAGGTGCTGAAAAACAGCGCCACACAATGGGCCCGCGCTTGTGAACGATGCCACGGGCGCCTCGAACGACCGCATTCCAGGCATCCGGCGCGCTCATGGTGCTCGATGTCGTGGCTCGCGTAGCCGGAGTCGAACCTCAACATTCGCTCGCTCAGTTGGTGAGTCGCGAACAGCGCCTGTCGTCGGGTCGACTCGACCGCCGCTGATCAGAGTAATCAGCGACTCGACTGTGCAAAGGCGCTTGATGGTAAGGGCCAGGGACACTTTGGGAATTAATCATAAGAAATGCATTGGGGAGACCGAGTCAACCCCACAATTGCCTTTGCTCGCGACGACACGACGCGGTGATTGTTTTGCGCGTGTAAGCGAGCACGTGTGTGTGTGTGCGCGTGTGTGTGTGTCGATGTGTGCGGAGCGGTGGCGCAGCGGTTAGCGCACTGGACAACGAACCCGGCGACCAGAGTTCGATTCCCGCTTCACGAGCAACAACGGTGGCGAAAGCCTTAACCGGTCCTTGGCCTCCCCTAGGTCGACTCAACCTTAAATGAGTACTTGGTGCGGTGTGCAAACATCGCCACCAAGGAGACAAAGGCGGCCGGACGTGGTGATGCTCACACCACCCCTCTCGTGCGCTGTACTGGCCTTAATAGCTGCTCGCTAACACCACTCCGCAATAGTCCGTGGAGGCTACGCAAGAGAGTCGTGTAATGAATTAAAATGCAATGTCGAGACTACGTCATCGTAATCATCGCTATCGATTCTCCAGGGTTGGAATAAGTCAACATTGACTTGGCCCAAGAATGGAGATGAGTAATGGGGAACTTGGACGTCATGTATGTAATCTACTGTACAGCCATTCATCACTCTACTGCTGGATGAAGGCCTCGCCGTCCCGCCCCCCACGCCCCGTCTCCCACCTTTCAGTCATGGGGGTTGCTCGGGCTATACTTCACCGCGAGGGTCAATGCGAGTTGCTGATGGGAGTTCCCAACAAGAGTTCACGTATCGCTCGCCATTGATGTGACCCGCGGTGGGGAATGCAGCTCATTCTCGCTCGGTTTAATAGCTACACGTTTGCCGGGCTTAATGTGAGCTTGGTCTGTCCGGGTCAGGCCCGACACACCACATCCAGTATACACAGGGCCGGATTAAGATTTTGTAGGTCCCTGGGCTACAGGCAGTGTGAGGCCACCAGTAATCGTTTCAAAAGAAAAACAAAGTTAAAGAGAATTAAAATTGCACTTGTTACGAGGCTAACAACAAATACAATTCAGCATTCACAAGTGAATTCACTTTTCACTTAATCTCTGGAGGCCCTCCAG